AGCAGATCCAGCCGAATGGATAGGATACCACTTTGGGTTTGCCTTCGTTCAGTGCGACTCCCCTTCCTTCCCTCCAATTGCATTTGCGTTGAGTGCAGCTTTGTTGCTGCCAGCTCCTTTGGGTGTTTTTCTGGTTGGGAAATGCAGAGAGGCAGTGTGGTCTATGGAAAATGGGTGGGGACTCGCTTAAGGTATAGTTAAAGTCGTCCGGGGGGCTTCGAATCGCAGGTTCGCATAGACAATGAAAAACCTCCACAAAGTGTTTAGAACTTTAGGACGATTAAACAGGGGGAAATCGATTTCTTTAGAGATTAACATGTTATAGGTATATGAATACAATAATAATAGTCAACTTTGTTAAAAAGTTCAAGTTTGTAACCTAACTATGTTAACTATATTTCATATTATTTTTGCGAGCTACAAATCTTATTCGTTTTGCCATCCGTTTAATTCTTGCTTGAACATTGCCTTTAGTAAAGAATTCGTAGGGTTTAAAAAAAATTGAGAAAGTAAATGTTTCCGAAACAGTATTTTAATTTTATATTAAAACTATTTGACTTAAGAAATCGGTCTTTAAAACCCCAGTCTTACTGACACCATAATCGAAACAAAATTAAAATTTCTATTCAAATTGAATCCTCTTAAAATAAAAACTTTAATAATCCTAAGAAATCTTCTTTAATTTATGTACCATCTACAAATATTTTCCTTAAGCTCACTTAAATTTGCATGACATCAGCTTTCCTACACCCCAGAAATCTCTAGTTTTATGTCTTGGCATAAGTCTCCGCCCGCAACAATTATGTATGCCAAGTGTTCGCCGGGGTTTTTCCATTAAAATCAACTAATAACAAGAAAGGAAAGCTAACTTCGGGCGGAGCCGAAGTTGATATACCCTTGCAGAATACTCTGTAAAATATATTCCCCAAAATTATTCATATGATGCATTCTTAATACTCATAAAAAATCCCAACTTCCTAACTTTAAAAACACCAAAGTTATGGCATTTCCAATCGTTCAGTTATATGGCAGATATAGGATATAGTCGGCCGATCCTTATGAAGTTTGGTAGGTCGGATTGATTGGCCAAAAATAAAACCCATAGAAAATCCCAACTTCCTAACTTTACAAACACCAAAGTTATGGCATTTCCGATTAATCAGTTATATGGCAGCTATAGGATATAGTCGGCCGATCCTTTTAAAATTTGGTACGTCAAATTGATTGGCCAAATGTAAAACCCATAGAAAATCCCAACTTCCTAACTTTACAAACACCAAAGTTGTGGCATTTCCGATCGTTCAGTTATATGGCAGCTATAGGATATAGTCGGCCGATCCTTATAAAATTTGGTACGTCAAATTGATTGGCCAAATGTAAAACCCATAGAAAATCCCAACTTTCTAACTTTAAAAACACCAAAGTTATGGCATTCCCGATCGTTCAGTTATATGGCAGCTATAGGATATAGTCGGCCGATCCCGGCCGTTCCGACTTATATACTGCGTGCAAAGGAAAGAAGGGTGTGTGCAAAGTTTCAATTCGATATCTTTAAAACTGAGAGACTAGTTTGCGTAGAAACAGACAGACGGACAGACAGACGGACAGACGGACAGACGGACAGACGGACATGGCTATATCAACTCAGGAGGTGATCCTGATCAAGAATATATATACTTTATAGGGTCGGAGATGTCTCCTTCACTGCGTTGCACACTTTTGACCAAAATTATAATACCCTCTGCAAGGGTATAAATATCCAGAGCGGACCCCGGCAACCCAAAGCCAAGGGGAGTGGACCCACAGAAGTCTCCGGCGGATATTAAACACTTAAATGCTGGCATAATTTTTACGCCGAGCGTTGCCGAGGAGCAGCTAAGTATTTAATTTAATGCGGCATACCTTGCTATCCATCCGAATACCCCTGCCTTTTCGTCGGAAGCTAAAACAAATAAATTGAGCTGGGGTTTCAGAAGGGGGACCGACAGTTGGATAGACAGACAGTTGAAGGCGAGGGTGTGGGCATCCCCACATAGTGTCGGAAAATTAAAGATTAAACGCTGGCAAAAATATTCTCGGGGTCAGTCTGGGATCCGAAAACAATGTCTGACTAGACAGGCAGACAGATGGTCGCTGGATTGGGGGAAGGGGATGTTGGCCAAGTCAAACAAAAGCTAAATGAAACGCCGGCATGCTCCCCACTCGATTCCCGATTCCGTATCCAAGGAATGAAGCAGTCAAAAGGTCCAAGTACGACTCCCAATTTATGCGCATTATTAAAGTAAACGCATGATATGCCCGGAATGCCAGCCCCCAGCAAAAAGTGACTGCACATGGACAGCTATACCAAAATAAAACAACCCCGCTCCAGTTGGCCCTGGGATTGCTACTGGGCACGTTTGTAGGTGTCCAAAATGGACATTTATTTATTTAGATTTTAGTTGAAGACAACATGGGGGGAATTACGTTGGGGTCTTTTTATTTGGCTTTGGCATCTTATTGGTGTTATTAAATCAAGTGGATTGGGAAGGAGGATAAAGGTAAATTGTGGATATTATGGAAAGCATGGAGACTGGCTAGCTTGGAAATACAAAACATTGCTTTAAAATATCATATGTTTCAATTAGATATAACATATTTTTTTAATTTAGATTTATTGTTTTATTTTTCTGTATTCATTCTGCCTTTTTTTCGTCTTATGATATAATTTAATGGGAGTTTTCTTTATTAATGGTAGTGGCTATAAAAAACATAAACAATTCCAACGTAGATATTGAAACTTTCTTAACGTGTTTGATTTATGATGAAGACAAAATATATTTAAATATTATGTTGTGGTCTGAATGTTTGGCACGACTATTTATTAAATCAAGTAGCTTGAGTGAGAGGATAATGTACTTTGTAGATATTAGGGAAAGAACTGCAACTTGCAAGCTTAAAAGTTCAATAAATTCAAAAAATGTTTAAGTGTAGCAATAATTTTGATTGAATTCAACCAACTTGTAAAGTGTTTTGTATGCTATAATTTTAAAGAATTTAATTTAAAAGAAGTGTTCCTAATTATAATAATAAACTTATAAACTAAAGTAAGTAATATAACATTTTGTTAACATAACAATTTTTGACATCATTATTCGTAGAGGGTTTCCTTACCCGCCAAATGTCGCAATTACCCAGGAAGCCATTTGACCGCCACTGCTTCATTAAGTCCAACATTTTGTGGCAATAAAAGGGATTTATGAACACCGCCAATAGCAGGAATTATAAGTTTTTAATACGCCCCCAACCAAAACCAGCTGTAATGAGGCCTTGGTGCAGTGCGTCGCATTATGAACGCGCCATTTGAATGAGACCAGCAATGGCCAACTCGGGGCAAGATGGCCAACACAATAGGCATAAAAATCAATTATGAACCATTAGCCGGGCCCAGAAGAAGTGGCTGTTGGTAAGGAGGGGCGAACAAAAGGCCAAGCCAAGAGCGAAGGTCATAAATCATCTGGCCAGGCTGTTGCTCCAAAGGTTCCTCGGGGAGGACCCTCCCCCCACCACTCCCACTGCTCCCCAGTTGTTCACGCATTAAATATTTATTTAGCAAGATTTTAATGGAGCCAAATAAGTTAAGTGTACGGAACAGTCCATGGTCGAGACAGAAGGTGGCCCAAACACGTGTTCTCTTGAGCTCGAGAGTAGGTGGCTTGGGCCAGAAAATGGCAAGGATCTCGAAGGAGGGGCAGGACATTCGCAGGGAGTCAGTCAGGCAGGCACACTTTGCCTGTGCTTTATGTATTTGACAGCTGGAGGCACTGGGGTTGGAAAAATGGGAGACACAGCGCTTACAGAGCTCCAGACAAATTCATTTCATTCGTGCGGAAATTAAATGCATATTTGACCTATTTATACCCGTTACTCGTAGAGTAAAAGGGTATATTGTATTCGTGCAAAAGTATGTAACAGGTAGAAGGAAGCTTTTCCGACCCTATAAAGTATATATATTCTTGTTCAGGATCACTATCCGAGTCGATCTAGCCATGTCTGTCTGTCCGTCTGTCCGTCTGTCTGTCTGTCCGTATGAACGCTGAGATCTCGGAAACTATAAAAGCTAGAAGATTGGCATTTTGCATGTAGATTTTAGGAGTTCCTACGCAGCGCAAGTTTATTTCAAAATGGTGACACGCCCCCTCTGACGCCCACAAGCCACAAGCTGTGGCCTCAGTTTTAATGCTATTATGAAAATTTCAATTGATATGTATTTCTTTCGTCAATACCTATCGATTGGCCTAATAAAAGTTTGCCACGCCCACTTTAACGCCCAAAAACCCATTAAACGCCTAAGCCTGGCTAGCGCCTACTTTTCCGCAATACAATAGCACCATCTAACGGATGACGTTGGAACAGCTGGCCAAGGTGCTCAACAGAGTCAACGTTAATTCTCGATAAGGATTTCTATTAAAGGAAATTGCGATGGTTATCATTTGTCAATACCAAACTATATCCCAAGAACTATGCAAATCAAATCAAGTTAGCCAAATCGGAGGTCTGAGTCAAACAATGGCGTATGTATGTATGTAAGCATATACATATGAATGTATTTACTTTGTACACAGTTGCAATTGCCCGGCAATTATAATATTAAGTTGTTTAGCTGAGTAACGGGTATCTAATAGTCGAGGCACTCGACTATAACGTTCTCTCTTGTTTTTATTTCCTTTCAGATCGGGTTATCTGTGAACAGTTTTCAACGCATAAAAGCAAACATTTCCCATGATATATTGATTATATAGCCATTTCTATTCGTCCGTTTCTACGCAAAACCAGTAGCTCAGCCTGGATGAAACTTTTCCCAAAGACTTCTTCGCTGTTGTAGGTAGCATATAAGTCGGGACGGGCTGGATCGGATAATAATATCATATATCTGCCATAGGAAGAGTATGAAAAAATATTCTAGAAAAGTCCAACTACTTTATAAATATGTGAACATATAGAGTTATTATTTCAGAAATTCTGGTTTAATTTCTTAAATGCTGGAAAATTGACATAACTTCATTGTCTTAAAAATTACGCTTACATATTGATATAGGGTCGTTTTAGAGAATTTTATATTATTTGTTATAGCTGCAAAGGCAGATAAACTTTAGCTTGGAATAAAAGCTGTCCATATAACGCTTGTTTAAAAGTAGGGATTTAAAAATGTTTGCACTATTTTCGTTCTCATACGCTCGTCATACATTTTTATTTTTTTTACCTTGCAGAGGGATAAGTTTGCAACGTGGAAAAGGAAACACCATTTATGTATATATTGGTTAGTATTTTTCACCTTCGTTTGACATTTGTTTTAATAAAAACCTTAAAGTCATACAAGTTGACTTTCACAAACGAAGTTTATTCGGGAATAACAGTCATTATCGTTCATGGACCACTCATTCAAGAACTTGATTTCAACACAATCTTCGTTGTACCAATTATCTGGCTCTTGTCGCCAATTTATAAATTTTGGTTTCTCTCCGGTTGTGTCTGATATGAACACGCCTTCCGTGGAAAAATCTTGGATATCTGTCCAGTATAAATTTTCACCCTTTTTTAATTTCTTACCAAGGGCATCCAACTCCGACTGGCTTTGAGGACTGACGAGGTGCCCACCAAAATCAAGACAGAATGCTCGAGAGTCATACCAGTTCCGCTTCTCGGTCTCCTCTATGTAATACAATTTGGATCCAATTTTCATATATGCCAGGGTTCTGATTGCTACGTTGATTTTCTTGATTGCTGCCTCCATTTGTTTAGTAGTCAGATCCTCAAACTTTCGCAATCCATCAATCGGTTTTAGTTTTTCATTGAGTTCTACCTGAAGCAAATCAATCTTTTTTTGTTGCCCGGCGATCTGTGTATCCATACTATCAAATCTAGTTGATAGTTTGTTTATTTCCGCGGCTTTGTTTGCTCCATCAGCAGTCAGTTTATTATCTTGACTTTCCAGCTTTTCAATCGTTTTTAGTTTTTCATTGAGTTCTACCTGAAGCAAATCAATCTTTTTTTGTTGCCCGGCGATCTGTGTATCCATACTATCAAATCTAGTTGATAGTTTGTTTATTTCCGCGGCTTTGCTTGCTCCATCAGCAGTCAGTTTATTATCTTGACTTTCCAGCTTTTCTTTTGTTATTTCTTCGAGGGACTTAAGATTTTCTTTTTGCAGTGAGAAATCGGTCTGTAATCTTTGAACCATTTCCGTAATTTTCGAGTTTTCTGATAAAACTTCTGCGGTCCGATTTTCTAACCGAATTTGTAGATTTACATTGGAGATTTGATTTATATTTGTAAAATCTTTCTTAAAGTTTTCGAACTCGCTTGAAAAACCCTCTAATTTTTTGATTCGTTCATTCATAACAACCATATGTTCCAAGATAATTATGACTGATTCGCTAATGTAGCTACTACAATCTTGAGCCTTCATTTTCTCACCTGTCTGTAAAGTAATTAGTTTAATATTTGATTATAACAATTAATAAAAATTAACTAACCAAAATTGTAGTCATTGATCTTTGCAAAAGCAGGCTAAATAGAAACACTAAAAAAATGTGTTTCATTTTATGAGGAAAATGGTACTATACACGAGGAATGCTGGGAGAGAACTGAATATCAACATATCGCTATAATACAAATGTATAAAGGAATATATTTAAATATATTACTGTGCACGACATTACTCAATAAAGGCTGACCATATAGCGAGAGAGGGCGAGATAACGCTTGTTTATATGTATTATTATACCCGTTACTCGTAGAGTAAAAGGGTATATTGTATTCGTGCAAAAGTATGTAACAGGTAGAAGGAAGCTTTTCCGACCCTATAAAGTATATATATTCTTGTTCAGGATCACTAGCCGAGTCGATCTAGCCATGTCCGTCTGTCTGTCTGTCCGTATGAACGCTGAGATCTCGGAAACTATAAAAGCTAGAAGATTGGCATTTTGCATGTAGATTTTAGGAGTTCCTACGCAGCGCAAGTTTATTTCAAAATGGTGCCACGCCCCCTCTGACGCCCACAAGCCACAAGCTGTGGCCACAGTTTTAATGCTATTATGAAAATTTTAATTGATATGTATTTCTTTCGTCAATACCTATCGATTGGCCTAATAAAAGTTTGCCACGCCCACTCTAACGCCCAAAAACCCATTAAACGCCTAAGCCTGGCTAGCGCCTACATTTCCGCAATACAATAGCGCCATCTAACGGATGACGGTAATTCTCGATAAGGATTTCTATAAAAGGAAATTGCGATGGTTATCATTTGTCAATACCAAACTATATCCCAAGAACTATGCAAATCAAATCAAGTTAGCCAAATCGGAGGTCTGAGTCAAACAATGGCGTATGTATGTATGTAAGCATATACATATGAATGTATTTACTTTGTACACAGTTGCAATTGCCCGGCAATTATAATATTAAGTTGTTTAGCTGAGTAATGTGTATCTAATAGTCGAGGCACTCGACTATAGCGTTCTCTCTTGTTAAATTTTGTGCTGGTGTGTCGACCCGGAAGCCAGTCTGTCTAAAATTTAATTTACTGTGAACGATTTTTCAGGCCGTTGAACTGGCAGAACAGTCAAATGATGTTGGACACCAGCAACAGATAATGTCAGAATTGAGATAAGAAGACGGGAGTTGAGTTCCTGATTTACACATCAAACAATAAATGTTAAATAACTTGGAAGGCATTGATACTCGAGCGTATATGGCAAATTAAAATTCAGTTTTAAACTTTAAAGTCCTTACATATGTATGAAACACCCTAAATAAAATAAAAGCCCAAATAAAATCAACAGATTAAGACAGAATTAGGAGGACAAGATGGGATAATAAATGTTAAATTAGGTGGAAGTCATTGATACTCGAGTTTATATGCCAAACTTCACTTATTAATTTTAAAGTCTTTACAAAAGAAACACCCTAAATAAACATTTAGGACTTACAACCATTTTTAGATATTTAACTTTAAAGCAAACTACCTAAAACATTTGAATATGAAACAAAATAAAACTTAACTTAATTTCATACAAAGTGACCAAGTACCTAAGAACATAAGCTATAAAAATCTAAACTTTTGCAGCGACAAACTTCGATACTCTTTTTCCCCAGCAGTTTCAAGCCATTCTTTTTAATTTATATGTCCTCAGCCAACAACCTCAAAACATTACCCATTTAATTGGCTGTCCCCGCCCAAAAAGTCCGGGCATTGTCTGCACACCTGATCCCTGTCATTCCCGAGCCCCCTAAATTACCACAAGTTGCTCATTAACCATGAAAGTAGTCACATCCAGAGCCAAGTGGCAATTAAATGGCCGAAACACAACATAATCAGTCATAAAAGTCTTGGGGGACGAATTCAAGGGAGGGAGCCGAAAAGCAACGTGAGCAGAAAGTAAAATAGGTGGCTCGGAAACACCTCCAATGCCCGATTCAGGTTCAGATCCTGCTGCCCGACACCACAGGACACCAAAGTGTCACATGACCAAATAAGAATGTTCGACATTTAACTGGGAACAACTTTTATGATTGCTAATTAAGCCTAACGAGCGAAGATCCATGTAAAGAGCCCAAAATAGGCAAACAAAATTCTTTCCAATTAGCAGGGCATTTTCTTTTGTGACTGTTTTCCGTAGGACCATAAAGTAAAGTTGGAAATGGAAAAGCCATCTCCACCAGACAGTTGCGAATTTTCCCCGCTGATTTTGGGCAGAGCATCAACAATGACGAGTCTCATCTGCATTTGCTGCCAAAACTTATTGCAGCCTGCAGGCAAATGCCAAAATCCACGCCCAAAATATGGCGGCAGCATATGGAAAATTGCAAATTGCATGTCAAAAATTGTCAGAATCGCAACGCTATCCACATAAAATAGTTGATAAATAACCCTTGCAGTCGAGAAATATCCTATGCCGAGTCGGTGCAGCTTTCAAATTGCTTCAAACTGTTTGACTTAATGGCCGTCGCTCAGATTGGCAGCAAACAGACGTCTAGAGAGATATGTACTCGGAGTAAAGGAAAAAGGAAAAGCAATAGATGGCTAAAAGAAAACGCATTACAAGCAACTCGACGGGAAGTTCTTTCTTTCAAACTGAAATTATGCGTTTGCACAACGAATCAAAAGTTAACTTGAGGCAAATCAGCTTCTATGAAAGGCGATATTTGAATACCCTCATAGCTCTTCGTTGTCCCATTTGTCCCAGTTGTCAATATCCTCCTCAAACTCCTCCTCTTCCTCGATCTCGCCTTCCCTTTTCTTCCGGTTTGGAGGTCTGTGTACACGGCAAGTGTTAAGGCACTCTTCTTTAGTATAGAACCGATTCGGATTTCCACCACAGCCACCGTAATAGAAGAAAATGCAGCGATTGGTCAGGTAATCATAACCCCAGACTTTCTCCCAGTTTTCACAGGGTCCTGGATTTGCCACATACCAGCATTTTGCTATGGAATAATCGGATTCAGATTGCAATCGATAATGGCGTTGATCTCGAGACTTACGTTCCTTAATTGTCACTCCGTGGGGAACTACAGCCATCAGGGGTTGCAGAAGTATCAGCCAGATCAACAAATTAAGATACATAACTAATCGCGTTTCTAACTACAGAAGATAACGTCTTTAAATATTGAATGCTTCCTTTTGATGGATAGTTCAAAGCTAGTAAGACAAGTACAAAATCTTAAATTCAATGAATTACTATTTTATGAATCCTTTTGTAAATTTTTATTAAAGATAAAATATGTTATTAGCCTGCAAATAGTTTAAATAAATTTAAATTACTAATATAATAGTAGGGCAGGATTATTAGAGTTCAAGTTCATAACATTTGTAAAACTTATAGACTTATAAACTGGAATATCAGGGTTGAGAATTTCAATATACCCCTTTTATGTATGTATAAAAACCAAAGGATATGCCGGGAATGCAAGCTCTTGCAACTTCTTCGCTTTCTTTTATAACTCACTCCTACTCCAAGTCCGAAGTACTTCATCATTTTTATTGCCACGAGAGACTTGAGAGAAGAGCAAAGAACTTAAATATTTTTTCTTTTCCTTGTATTTGACTAACGATTTGATGACGTTGATGGTTCTTTGAGATGCAATGCCGCGACATTGCAGGGATAGAAAGGAAACTGCAGATGCATATTTCAGAGCTTAAAGCTCTAGCCAAAACGGAAGCGGAAATGAAAAACCATAATGTATATTTACAAGCTTTGCAACTTTTTGCCAAACAATTTCACTTCCTCCCCATCTAATCATCTCGAGCAAATCGATTTAATTTAATTTGCAAAGCGATTTTCACTTAAAATGTGATTACGCAAATTTTCAATTTGAAAACGATAACGTAAATTGGCAGACACAATGTGGGGGAAACGGTTTAAAGGAGGGGTGTACCCCAAAAATTCGTTGCCAGCCGAAAGGAAGCGATTTGAAAATTTTGTTAGACCCAAAAATGCGGGGTGGTGGTGCAGATAAGCCAGCCGCTTTTTGTCTCGCGGGTATTAACTGTCTCGACATAATTCTTTATTACACTTGGAAGGTAATATTTAGCAAAAAACGGGGAACACGAAGATCCCATCGAATTGCATTTAAATTTTATTTTCATGTTTACATGTTTTGGGTGTGAGTCAGTTGAGATGTAGATAGGGGGCTATATAAATTATTGAGAGCCACAGCGTGAAACATAAATACAAAATGGTCTCCTTTTATGTATAAACATGCCTTACATTAATTTAAAATATGAATATCTGAAATTATTATTAATACTACTTAAATAAGCTTCTTTGAAATAGATTGAAATGTAAGTAGCTTTAAACCCAAAAAAATCTTGTACAAATTAGGCGTAAGTTAGAAAATATTTATTATTGTCTAACTTATATAAATATTTTGTTTAATACGCTCAGTATACCATCCTTTAAAGTATAATTCTTTATTAGTTATTCTCCTTATCCTTCAGCTTGTTCAAATGGTCCTAATTTCTTATTTTTGTATAGCTTTATTCGTTTCCATTTAAATTTAAACCCCAAAAACCAACCAACACCCTTAGTTAACATTTGTCTGCGACCGCCGTGCAATCATTTCCTATTCCAACTCCATGTCCCAGGTGAATTTTGGTCCACTGGTCCCGGCACTTAATTAAGTTTCAATATAACTCGATACCGTCCGTTATCCTCAAAATCATCGAACAGCAACCACGGCAAAGCTCAGTGGCAACCACCAAAGTGGTTTAGTCGGTCCAATAGCCACACTTTGGCAACTCGCTGTAAAATTCCGTCAGCAGTTGATTTCAGTTCCCTGATTATCATCGCACTGACACCGAAAATTACACAATCCAAAATACATGCCAAAAACGAAAACAAAAAACAACAAGTATTGCGAATTGTAACCGATTTTTCGACAACGGCTCTAGCATTTGTAAATTTAAATAGTTGCGCAGTGAGGAATTCCACGGAGGCAGGAGAACCCTCATCAACTTCCATTAGAATGTCAAAGTTCAGCGGATGTCGGAGGAGGCTTTCGGTTAAACCGTGCGCAAAAGTGTCAAAATGTTTAACATATGCCCACATGAGACACTGCAGGACCAACAGAATGTCCTGTCCCAGTTGGCCCTGTTGTTGTTGTTGTTGGTGTTGCTATTTTGGTGTCGCCATTTGCAGTGACAGCGTTGATAACAATGACAATAACAAGCGGCCCGAGCCCAGGGACTTGCCGGCTGTGAATCGTGAAGGTTATCCTCCCAGAGCTGTGTTTTGTGAGTAATCACACGAAATGGGCTGTTGACCCGTTAGCGGCTGCACTGATGTGGGACTGCACACAATGGGCCGCTCGGATTTGATGGATGTCAGGGGGAAATCCGAGACGAGCAACTTGAAATTGCTGTCTGATCTAAGATGATATTCTGGAAACATGTTTCAAGTGTGCACGCAATGTAAATATCTTGTATTTGATCTTAACTATGGTAATTGCTGAGAAAATTATATGGAAAGGAAACGAGTAGTTTGTATTTTATGTAAAAACCTTAAAACCTTAAAATCTTAAGATTCAAAAATGAAATCAAACTATTTAAAAGAATTTAATAAGTACAAATATTTATCAAGATTTCTCATGAGAATGATTTTAAAATTATAAAACGAAGAAATGCCTAAAAAACTCTCAAAATATATTTATTTATATTGTATTGTTATGTTGTTCGGGTTGATTTGATTTATTTTTTTTTAATGAGAAAGAGAATTTTATCGTAAGTTTCTTTTTGTTTTTACTTTGATAAACTGTACTGTAAAAATAACCACAATTGGCAATTTTCTGCGTACTACGACTGATTTTCTATTTTGAAATTCTCAAACCATTACATTTTCTTATTCAAAGCCAGTCAAGCTCAGTTTGGAACACTGCTAATTACAGAACCCGCTCTTTCCGACAAATACTTTCATTAGCTGTCAGCCGCGACGCCGCCCTTCCACACCATCTTGGCCACTAACAAGAAATTCTTAAAATTACATAAAATTTGGGCTGCCATTTCGGGCCTTAATGTTCAACTTAATTTAAGAGAACGAGTTAACAAGCAACCGAAAAAATTTGATTTATCGCTGGCAAAACTTTTTTGGGCTTGATGAGCTTCGGCAAAAGTTTTTGGGGATGGGCGGCCGAGGGCGGAGGAGGGCGGAGGAGGGCGTGGCAGGAACAAAACGTCTGCTGCACTTTGCCGCCGCCTTAGTTGGTTTCCTTTTGCCGGCTTTCCTTCTTGGCGCGTATTTCGGTGGCTCAGCAAAACGCTATGCAAAATCGCCCACTAAACTTTAATGGCCCGACATTGGGGGCGCCGCCGTCGTCATGTCCGCCATTTGGGCGCCAGTTAGGAGAACCAGAAGTTTGCCACATGCAACCCGGAGCGAGAGTTTTAGATGGGCCGCTTTAATTGCTTGGCGTGCCATGTGAAAATGTTTGCAAACTGGTTTGGGGCTCGCACATTTTTCAATCCCATTCCCAGTGTTTTTCCCCTTTTTTGATTTTATGTGCACTTTTATGGGACACGAGCTTACAATTTGCAACAACATTTCGAAGGCTACATTTATTTTGGAATTGGCTTGGGGTCGGTCAGTTTTATGAAATGTTTCCGTTTGTTTTAATTTGTTTTCGGCTGTTACCTGACGAGAGCACAAAACTTTCGTCTAGACACGACACTTGATCACGCGCTCCACAAAAGCTTGAAGTATTCAACAATTAATGAGAAATGCTCAAAACTAGTGTCCTTTTCAGACAAAAATATGTGGAAATAGTATAAATAGGTCTTAATTTGGCACCGAAAACATATGCAAGGTAACTGGATTTCGCACGAGACATATCAATATGCAAAGGAGGTTTAGCACAGCCTTGCACTAAGTGAATGTGAAGGCACGAGCTCAAAACGAGAGCAGAGCAGCCACAGAAGGGAAAAACCTGGGAAAGCTGGAACTTGGGCTCGGGACACAAGTGGCTAGACGTGACTAGCATACATTATATCAGCTCTGGCCACAATAAATGCAAAATATATGTATGCATCAAGTGCAAAACACGCCGTAGAGAGAAAAATACAAGTGCGGGCGACAGGCTAAAATGGAAAACGAACAAAATATTCAATCAGACGGGGAATTTTGCAGGGAAAAGTGGAGAAAGGAAAATGCGTGAGAAAAATCGCGAAATATTTGAAGAGTTAAGTGAACTGAACTTAAAATAGACATAAAATCTCAAGGGAAAGAAAATCAATAGCCTTTGAAAATAAACCAAGATAAAAATACCTAAATTAAATTAATTTATTGTTCGTTTTTGAAATCGTTTAGATTTTTGTCTTCAATGGCCCTTTCAAAATCATGTCTTGACCGTATAAATTTCTAAGCCGCAGAGTTCCCATAAATTCTTGCCCACAGCTTTCAATAAACTCCAAATTGACTATGTGGTATGGAACAATGCCAAGAAAATTTAATTATTATGCTTTCCTAACGCAGACATTGAGGGACGATTAAGGACATTTTATGTTTATGTTGCCAGCAAATTGAAAAATAATTTGGGAGTCTGCTTAAGGATTGGGAACATACATAAATATCAGCATAATAAGAAAAAGTTCCGCTCAATTTTAATGCATAATATTAATCTTATGCTTATTTCATTTGAATGCAGTCGAGAGGTAAAATGGTGAAAAAACTCTTGAGAAAAATCCATTTGTTGTGAAAAATTCAATTTATATTCGATTACGCGACGATGTCTAAGTAGGAAAATAGAGAATGGCTCAAGTGCTTGTGAGCGAATTTCTTTTTATTTTTGGCTTGGAGCGCATTGAAAATGTCCTGTCATGCGTTAAAATTGCAATTTCTTTGCCAGGAAAAGCAGGAAAATCGCAAAGAATATTGATAAATGAAAAATATAAAGACATGGGAAAAATCAATCTCGAGTCCCAAAAATCCCTGTGGCCCTTCTCTCGATCCCCTCTAATTGTAAAACACGAGGCACCAACAAACATAACAATCATAGTCAATTGTTGGCAGTTAAATATTCATGAGCCGAGTGAGAAATAAAGCTGGAAATAGATATCCCAAACAGAAAGTCGGGGAACGGGGCTAAAAACCAGAAGAAGTATCCCA